TTGAATCCCTTCGTGGGACCTGATGGATTAATCCGCCTGGGCGGGCGGCTCGAGAACGCTCCACTCTCTTACAATGAGCGTCATCCGATTATTCTACCGGATCATCGAATTGTTCGATTACTGATTGATCGGGCGCACAAGGCCACCCTTCACGGTGGCACCCAGCTTACGCTGCGCGTCTTGCGCCAGCGGTTCTGGCTCTTGTCCGCCCGCGCGCTCATCAAAAAGTTCGTTCACCAATGCATCACTTGCACTCGCCAACGAGCGCAAGTCGGTACCCAACAAATGGGCAATCTGCCCTCTTCGCGAGTCACCCCCTCGGCTCCGTTCACGTCCACCGGGGTCGATTACGCCGGCCCATTCAACCTCCTTGCGTCCGTCGCTCGGGGGCAGCGGACTTCGAAACATTATGTGGCACTCTTTATTTGTTTGGCCACCAAGGCCATCCACTTGGAGTGCGTCGACGATTACTCGACGGCCGGCTTCTTGGCCGCGTTTCGTCGCTTCGCAAGCCGGCGTGGGCTCCCGGCTCACGTATACAGCGACAACGGAACCAATTTCCAGGGAGCCGATCGCGAGTTGTCAAAAGCGTTGCGTTCTCTCACGCGCGATGCCGCCGTTCAGGGACCGCTGGCCAACGACGGCATAACTTGGCACTTCATCCCCCCCGCCGCGCCTCACTTCGGAGGGCTGTGGGAAGCTGGGGTGAAGAGCTTAAAATTCCATTTGAAGCGCGCCGTTGGCACGCATTCGCTATCCCGGGCCGAATTTGCAACCTTACTCTGCCAGGTGGAGGCGTGTCTAAACTCACGCCCCATCTCCGCAATGTCGGCCGACCCAACCGACCTGGCTGCGCTGACGCCTGGTCATTTTTTAATAGGCCGTCCTCTCGTGTGCGTGCCGGAACTCTCCGTCACCGACGAAAAACTTAATCGGTTGTCCCGATGGCAACTCATATCCCGGATGCAGGAGCAGATCTGGCGTCGCTGGTCTCACGACTACTTGCACTCGCTTCAACAGCGACACAAGTGGCCGGAGTCCAAACATAATCTCCAGGAGAACGATCTAGTTCTTCTGAAGAGTAATCTGCTTCCTCCCACCAAGTGGGATCTGGCGCGGATCACGGAGGTGCACCCAGGACGATGGCCTGACTCGGGTCGTCACCGTTCGTACCGCCACTAGCACGTTCCAACGGCCGGTGACCAGGTCTGCCGCCTGCCCATCCGCGTCGACACCGAAATGTCCGCGCCCTAATCCAACTACTGTATTATATCTTGTATTCTTCCGCGGACTTTACTGTATACTTCTAACCGCCTAGTTCATAAGCCCCCTACTGTATATTAACCCATTCATGTAAATAGCTGTTAGTGAAGAATTGCCCTTTTTTCGTTTGTTCGTTTTGCACCTTAGTAAGTGCAAGGCGGGCGGTATGTTCACGCATGAGCGTGATATATGCCTTCATGTTAAGTAACATTTAAGTCCTTCTCGCGGTTTCGAGAGCGCAAGGAAACTTCGGTCCGGTTGTCCGCGTCGACACACAGCAGCCCGGGGCGAAAACGCCCTTGTTTTCGCGAATGCACGCCGGAGGCATCGGTCCGACACGAGTCGACCGCGTGCTTCCGCCTCGCTAATTGGATCCTTGCGCTCTCGCGACTCGCACGCGAAGAACCCTGATTCGCCCGTTCTTCTCCCCCGGCCCGGAGTCCGCGGTGCCGGGGCTGAACCTCGACAGTCCGTCGTGTGCTCCGAGACGAGTCATGCATACTGTGTATCAACGCTCATTCTCTCGGCAGCATTATCTAACGCTAAGTGAATCGTTTCGTAAAGTGAAAGGAATAAATCTGTGTAAATATTCACGGTTTCTCCAGTTATTGAGCACCCGCATCCGCCCATCCTACGTTTCGTTAAATCAAAATCAGTGCCTCGCGCCGAGGACGAAGGCTCGCGCGAACATTGAATGGTCCTTCGAGCCGGATATTCGGGTGTTCGCGAGTGGATTCACAGTGCTCCGGATCAAGCCACCTGTGCTCCAGCTTATTATCTCGACGGACTCGCCTCCGCGGTTAAAGGACCGCATCCAGAAAGCCGATATTTCCGGCAGCAAGTCGGGCGTTGCGCGCTCTCGCTCGCACCCCGCGCTCAAACGAGCAGACCAGTGCACTCGCACCGCTGCTCCGCTTTGGCGGCGAACGATCGGGTGTTGCGTGCACGCGCGCGCACCCCGCACTCGA